GTGACGAAGCCGGCGCGTTGCCCTGGAGCCCACAAGACGCCGCACGTCCGTCACCGAGGACATCGTCGGCCGAGAGCCTCTGGCGCCATGTCTGTGCTGGATGTGTTGTGGGAGGACCGCGACGTGCGCTTCGACGTGTCCTCGCAGTGAGTCTCTGGAGGCGCTGGGCCCCCGCGGCTGCGGCCCCCCGAGGTCCTTGGCCCGCTGCCTATCCCGAATGTGAGCCCATCGAGGCTGGGACCCCCCCTGGGTCCAGCGGTGGAGCGCACGTAGGGCAGGGATTCCCAAAAGCGGGGTTCTAGAACAAAATCAGGAATAGCATCCATTGCCCCCGAACGCTTGGCGTGACTGTGAAGTGAGAGCCGAGCGAGTGAGAGTTTTCCAAAACATCCGACCACGCAAACCTTGTGTCCGGGCTGAGCTATCGTCTAAATCTTTTCTAGCTTGATAAACAGAAGCCCTGTTTGTGCGGGAATAGGCTTTAAAGAGAAGATGGTTAAAGGCCTTCCTGCCCAGAAGTTGGGGGTGGGGCTGAGATTGTAAGTGTTGGAAAATATGACAGCTGAAGTTCTTGGATCAATAAATACCGTGGCGCCTCAGCAACTTCTTAATGGTACCTCCTTAAATGGAATAATGAAATATCGATACATTTTTTCAGCGTTTATGGTAATTGGATGCCTGTCGTGGTATTATTTCCTTTGGAAAATCAAGGGAAGGGATATTTGTAAAATTACAAACAACAGTAACTCATTACACACCTTTTAGGGATTTTCCATTGTGTGTGTGTGTGTGTGTGTGGCCAGGGGAGGTGTCTTTTAATCCAAACAAAACTCCAGTTTTCATGAACATTTTCAGTTTACCAGACAGTTACCACATGCTGGTTACTTTGTTGATAGAGACAAAAAAAAAAGGGGGGGAAATGCTGATCATACTCCCTCTTTCTAGTGCAGATTTACTTGGATGGCTGTGTAAATACTTGAGCAAAAGGGCCTGGGAGATAGCTCAGTAAAAGTTCTTTCTGTGCACAATGCAGGAGTGTTGGTCAGAAGTTACCTGTGGCAGTCACTTCTCTCCTTTGTTAGGGTCCCAGGGATCAAGCTCCGGTCATCAGTCTTAGTGGCAGCTACCTTTACTTGCTGAGTCATGTCACTGGACCCCTGAGGGTACTCCTTATACAACTTTTAAAAGTCATTCTGTCCCATAGCTGCCTGATGTCCTTCCTCTACTTAGAAACCTCTTGGGGCCTATTGTCATAGAGTTCCAGATTCTTCCATAGCTTGTCTCCTGAGTCCCTCAGCTACACTTCTCTCAATACTCAGTTCCCTTTCTCCGGAGTGCCTCTCTCAACTTACTAGTTCCCGTTTTCTTCAGTTGTGCACTCTTTGCTCTTTTCCTTGTAGGTATGCAATACTCCACTTCTTGATCTAGCTGATTCCCAAGCGGCCCTGGTCAGCTCAGGGCTCACTGACCCCCCCCCCCCAGGGTCTGGAAGTTATTTTCAACTGTACACGCACTCAGTGCTATATACTTTACACTGTTGTCTGCCCTATGCCTCTATGTCTCTCTTCCTTAATTAGATTGGTAGCAGATAGAGTTGAAGTTATAACCCTGACAGTATTATATTTATTTTAGACAGATGAAAACAAGACCTGGGGAAGTCCTTATTGATTGTTTAGATTCAATTGAAGACACAAAAGGAAATAATGGGGATAGAGGTGAGTAGATTTTGAGTTTTGTATTTGTGATTAAATGTATAAATGTTGATTCACATTAGCTGGAGAAAAAGCATCATATGTAAATTTAACTGTGAGAAGAAAGATGTTAAGTCCACAGGTTTTCTCAAATAAAGGGTAGATAGTAATCCTACAGATAGGAAACACAGATTCTCCATTAGTGTTAGCCTGTCAGTACTAAGTCTTGACTCATGACACGAGATTTTTCTAGTGTAATGGTTAAAACTCCAGGAGCCCTGTTTGTAGGCGTCATAGAATAGTTCCTACTGTTGGATCTGCCTGCCACCAGAAGAATACAGAGTGGTGAACATTAAATATTCGTGGCTGTGGTATCTGTAGCCACACTTCACCTTAGTCCTGAAGCACTGCACAGCCCCCTCAGATTGACCCCTAGAAGTGGACCTGTGCAAGGAGAAAATTTAGTGCTGCACTGAGAAGTCAGTCAGATAGTCAGTGAAGTAGCAGTAAGTCGTGTAGGAATGTTTGTTTTGTTTTGTTTTAGAGCACTGAGAAACAACTGGACCTCTAGTGTCCTGAAGCTAAAACCTTAATGCAGCTGTCCCTGGAACCAGTGGTCAGTGTGCAACATCAGGGTCTGAAAACTCATTGCTATTACTCACAGGTGGGGTAGAGGGGAGTTTGGTGTATCCTGAAATGTTTCTGGAGGAGAACTTGAGGAGAAATCAAGGATGAGGGAACCAGCCACCTCATTCAGATAAGGGGGTCAGTGCGTCCTGAGGAAGGGGCAGTAACCTTATTGCAGAACAGGCTTAATGTGGCTTTTAGGTGGCTGCATGCTCTCCTAGATTTTCTTCTGAATTGTCCTAAGCCCCCATTTTTTTGTGTGAGGAAGCTGTTATCACTAGCCAGGAGCAGGCCCTGTCAGTGTCTAGGGGCAATCCTTAAAGGCAGGCTTACATTTCTTAATGATCCCTGGTGTCTATTTGACCACAGGGAGAGTGATTCCTGAACACCTAACAGCAAATAAAAAGTCTTAGTTTGTGCTTTGTAGGACAGAATAATGATTTTGCTGTCATAGTAGCTAAATCTTAGTGAAAAAGTGAGTTACCTTGAGGAAGTCAAGATTTGGTTGTTCATATACTGTTTGACAAGGAGGCTTTTGTGTTTTGTGACAGTTCATTCTCTATAACAAATAGACTGTGGATAATAAAACATTTTTTTTTGTTTGTTTTTTTCTGATTCATCAAGTACTCATTGACTGCAGAATCCTGTATCAGTGCTTTGGTGTATAGACAGTGTCCTAATTAGCTTTAATTATCAGCTTGGCAGAGCCTAGAGTTGTCTGAAAGGAGAAACCTCAATTGAGGAATTGCCTAGATCAGATTAGCCTGTGGGCATGTCTGTGGGGGTTTGTCTATTAATTGTTGTAGGAGGGCCCAGACCACTGTAGGCAGCACCATCCCTAGGCAAGTGGTCCTGGGCTGTATAATAGGAAAGCTAGCTAGCTGTGAGCTTGTGAATTAGGGAGCCAGCAGGCAGTATTGTTCCATGGTTTCTGCTTCAGGTTCCTTTCTTGACTTCCCTCAATGATGGAGTGTGACTGCCCTCCCCAGGTTGCTTTTGATTCAAGTGTTCTTTCACAGCAACCGGGGTCAAACTACTACAGAGGGCGAGAGGCTTCCTGGGGTTGGGGAATGTAGCTCATTGGTAGAATGCTCTCCTAGTGTGTTCAAAGCCCTGGGTTCAATCCTCAGCACTAAGTGGTCATAAGAAGATGAGAAGCTTGAAGTTATCCTATCCAGGGTTTTTCTTTTGCTTATAACAAGGGAAGGAGTGGGGAAACCTGGCTACAATAATCCCCTCATGGTACCTGAATTCTGTTAGAGTTCTGTTAGAATTCAGGAAGCTTTGTTTCACTGAAAGTTTACAGGAATGTTCAGAGTGTGTAGTTTATATGAAGGTGGAGAGGACACGGTGAGTTCTGCCTTCCAGCCTTGTACATCTGCTCCTTTCAAGCAGTTTCCAGGTGACCAACTTTTAAGGCCATGCCCCATTCAGGACCCCCTATTTTGAAGCTGTGAGTACCTCAAAAGATTAGCACATTTAATCCACTTCTAAGTACTCGGCCATGAAATCGTCAGATTAGCATTGGGCACTGAAGCCACAGAGGGTAAAATGGGTCATGGAGATTTCATATTTGGGAGATTAGAAAAAGAAACAAGGACAGAGAAAAAAGTCCAGGCCTGGAAGAATGGGCTTGGAGCTGCAGGGAGGGATCCTTCCTGAGAAAAGAGGCTGCACGAGAATCTTAAAAGTTGTAGCAGATAAATAGCAGAAAAATGAAGAGAGTTGGCTGAAAGTTTTGTAAGGCAAACTCTTCCCACTTCATACTTTTCTTCTGGAGATGCTAATAGAAAAGTATAAAAGACAAAATATCACCTAAGTGAAATGATTCAAGGAAATTGGTGCCCCTGTAATTTTTAAGTCGTAAAAATTAGTTTGTAAAGCATTAAAATACTAAGGCAGGATTAGAAGTTCACATCTCTAGTCCCAGCTTGGGTGGCCCAGGCAGGAGAATCCGTGGAACCTGTGAACTTGAGAACAGCCTATGTGCTAGTGATACTGTCTAAACAAGGGTGGCTTCATGGAACCTGGTATAATAAAGCTTTTCAGTCTGAAAGAGCAGGGTAAGAAGAAAGGAAAGGAGGGAGGGAGGGAGGGGAGGGAGAGAGAGAGGGGAGGGAGATAGGACTGGAGCTATAGCTCTCTGGCAGAGCACTTGCCTGTCAAGTGTCAGGTCCTGGGTTCAATCATCATTGTTCCCCCTTTCAAAGAAAAAAAAAATACTACTATTAACATTGTATAAAATAAATTAATTAAAATATGATTGCATCATTTTCCCTTCCTGTCCTCCCACCAACCCTCCCATGTTTCTTTACTCACTCTTAACAGCTTTTTAGTGTTTATTATTTGCCAACTGCTACTTTTATATATAATTTTTATATATGTAATCTCACTTAGTAGCGCTAATTTAAAGTGAACTTACCATTTTCTCATAGGAGGCAGCTGAGAGGCTACTTGGCTTTTCTAATATCACATAAATCAACAATGAACTGAACCACGTTATGTTTTCTGTCTTAGTTAGGGTTTCTATTGCTGTGAAGAGACACCATGACATGGCAACTCTCTTTCCTTTCTTTCTTTCTTTCTTTCTTTCTTTCTTTTTCTTTCTTTCTTTTTTTAAGTGTTGAGTAAACATACCCATTTCTCTTCAATGGATGCTAAATTATTTTTTTAAAAAATAGCAAATACAGTGCTGTAAAATTTTCAGCCTTGTGGTTTTTCTCTGATTTAGGGCTGCTCTCTCCACCCCTTTGTCTAGGAGGAGTGTGTCAGCACAGTCTTGCTTCATCAGACTCGGCCTTGGTCTTCCAGTGACCACAGCAACTCTTATAGGGAAAACATTTAATTGTATCTGGCTTACAGTTTCAGAGGTTCAGCCCGTTATGTCATGGCAGGAAATGTGGCAGTGTGCAGGCAGACATGGTGCTGGAGAAGGAGCTGAGAGTTCCACATCTTGATCCACAGGCAACAGGAAGTGAACTGAGTCCCACACTGGGTGTACCTTGAGCATATGAAACCTCAAAGCCCACTTCCTCCAACAAGGCCACACCTTCTAATAGTGCCACACTCTATAGGCCAAGCATTAAACACATGGATCTCTGGGGCCATAACTGTTCAAACTGTTCAAACCACCACAGTATCTGTCTTTTCTTTCTTTCTTTCTTTCTTTTTTTTTTTTTTTTTTTTTTTTTTTTTTTTTTTTTTTTTTTTTTTTTTTGAGAGTTTCTCTATGTACCCCAAGTAGTCCTGGAACTCTTATTATAGACCAGGCTAACCTCAAACACAGAGAGCTACATGCTTCCTGAGTGCTGGGATTAAAGGCATGCACCACCCTGCCATGCCTTCTCTCTCTCCTTTTGAGACAGGGTCTTACTATGTAGCCATGGCTGGTGGCCTGGAACTCAAAGATCCCCCTGCCTTGGCCTCCACCTTCCCAGTGCTGGATTAATTAAAGACATGCACCACCACACAGATTCTTCTTAAAATTGTTTCGTCCTCCCCAATTTTAAGCCTAAACTCCAACTCAGTTTATTGCTAGTAGGCTTAACTCTGAACTTCTTGGTCTAGCGTTGAAGAACTACTTTGTCTGCAGTCAACCTTTCTTGCCTGCTGTGGCAGGATTGGGTACATGGTTCACTTAAATGAGAGCTGTGGGACTGGAGAGATGGCTCAGCACTTGAATGCTTCCTATGTGTGAATAAGGACCACAGTGGTCCTCTGAATACCTGTAACGTCAGCACAGGGCAGGCTGGCACAGGAGGGGCACTGCAGCTTGGAGAGCGGTAGAGGAGGCCACCTGGTTCTCTGCCATGTTTTCTGTACTTTGTGCATCCACAAACACATAAACACAGCACACAAAATGAGAACTGCTAAGAGACACCTGTATGACACCTGTGTGTTAGTTACTTTTCTCATTTCTGTGGCCACGTACCTGACAAAAGAAACTTAAGGAGGGAAGTGTTTATTTTGTCCCTCAGTAGAGTTCATCATAGCAGGTAGGGCATGGCAGCAGGAGCTGCCTGCCCAGCCCATATTTTGCTTTTTTTCTTTTAATCATCTAAACCAGACTGGCCTCGGGCTTGGTATGCAGCTAGTTTTGGCCTTCAACATGTAGTCCTTGTGACTGCACCCCTGAGCCCTTGGATCACAGGCTTGTAGGAGCACCATGTTCACCCTGAGCACTTGGGACACATGATGCAGCTAATACAAGTGCTGGGCATCCAACCAGCAAGCTGTGGAGCCACAGCATCCATCCCCACCTCAGACTGTGCTTTGAAAAGGGCCGTCAGCTAACCTGTTCTTACTTGCTTTGCCTTTAGGTAGACTCTTAGTAACAAACTTAAGAATCATCTGGCATTCTTTGGCGTTACCCAGAGTCAATCTCTGTAAGTATTCTTCTTTGATAAGAAGCTAAGGGGGAAAAATTCCTTTTTCAGGAAAGTTGGATGGTATATTTGGTATTTAAAATAAACAAAAAAATCTAAAGAACTGAGGACAAAGCTCAGTGATAGGCACTTGTAAAACACAGGAACAATTTTCTTTTGGTTTGTTTGCTTGTTTTGTTTTTCAAAACAGGGCTTCTCTATGTAGTCTTTTCTGTCCTGTAACTCACTCTGTAGATCAGGCTGGCCTCGAACTCAGAGATCCACCTGCCTCTGCCTCCCAAGGCATGGGATTAAAGGCATGCACCACCATGCCTTTATGCTTATACCATGAAGTATGTGGAAATATAAAATCCTTCCAAAATCAAAGATTGATCACAGACTATATCCTGTGTGAAAAAAAAATAATGTTATTGTGTTTCAGCCTGTGTTTTGTCTTGGTTATGGGGGACTGGTGTTTTCATGGGTATAGTTTTTGTCTTTACGTTTTTGTTTTGTTTTTTTCCTGAGATAGAGTTTCTCTGTAGCCTTGGTTGTCCTGGAACTCTGTAGGCCAGGCTGGCCTCAAACTCGGAGATCCATCTGCCTCTGTCTCCGGAGTGCTGGAACTAAAGGTGTGCGCCACCACCACCCAGCATCTTTACATCTTTTGTTGTTATTTATGTATGTGCATGATGTGTGTCTGGGGTGGGGCTCTGTGTGCCAAGGGACAGCTTTGTGGTGTCAGTTCTCTCCTCCCTCCTGTCCATGGGTTCTGTTGATCAAATTCAGATGCAGCGGGTGCCTTTACCAGCTCAGCCATCTCTGTTCCTTCTTTGCTTTTGATTGTCTTTGAAAACATAACATAATCGTGGTAAAGTTTTTTGTTTTTTGTTTTTTTTTTTCTCTTCCCATGTTAGAAGTATTTTATTTGTTCAAGGAATCACAGTTGACCCTCAAGTTCTTATAATTATTCCTTCATTCATTCTTTCCTTTTGGGAGGGGGCTCTCACATGTTCCAGGCTAGCCTCTTACCTGCTGTGTCACTGAAAATGACTTGAACTTCTGCTTTCCCTGCTTCCACCTTGTGAGTGCTGGAACTCCAAGTGTGTGCTCTGCACTGCTTATCCAGTGCTGAGGATCAAGCCCGCGTCTTCATGTATGCTGAGAGAGCAGTCTACCCACTGGGCTACATTCCTAACTTCAGTTTGTAATTCATACAAATTTTAAAAGTTGTACTTCTGCCCGGCAGTGGTGGCACACCACTTAATCTTAGCACTTGGGAGGCAGAGGCAGGAGGATCTCTATGAGTTTGAGGCCAGCCTGGTCTTCAGAGTGAGTTCCAGGCCAGGCTACAAAGCAATACAGAGAAACCCTGTCTTGAAAAACAAAACCAAAGTTGTACTTCTGTTTATGTTTACTTTTCAAAACTTTAAAGTTCTAAGTTTTAAAATTATTTTACAATATTATATTTCTCAGTTTACAATATCATACTCCTTATATTCTTTGTCTTTCCTTTAATTTTAGCTATTGGTTACAACTGCATATTGAATATTACAACAAGAACTGCTAACTCGGTAGGTCTGGAAAGTCCTGGGGAAGTGTATGTATAATGGAAACAGCTTGCTTCCGCTTTAAATGGGAACTTGTCCTTTAATTCTGCACTTTGTAATAAATTTGTCCTTCCAGAAACTACGAGGCCAAACTGAAGCTCTTTATATTCTGACAAAATGTAACACCACCCGATTTGAGTTTATTTTCACAAATCTGGTTCCTGGGAGCCCCAGACTTTTCACCTCTGTGATCGCAGTGCACAGGTACAGAAGCATCTGGTGGAGTTTTGAGTGTGAACATCACTTTGTTGTAATGGTGTGAAGCAGAAAATTTAGGTGTTTGACAATGTCTTCTAGTTGCAAATACCCCAGGTATTTAGAATACTCCATTGTCATATGTCAAGCACATTGAAAGAGTCTATAAAGTGTATAAGCCATAGTGTGCACACTTGTGATCCCACCACTCTAGAGGACAAAGCAGGAGCACTATTGGGTCCGGGCCACCCTGGGCTACATATCACCACCTTTGCAAAATGGAAGACTACTGGAAAGAGTCTGCTAAATCAGCTACCAAGGTAAAAAAAAAAAATTCTAGTCATGAGTTTAAAAGATATTTATAGCAGAAGTAGACATTCAGATGTTTTCCTTGAGTAACTTTTCTTTATAATTCTTCAGATTATTAACAGTGCTTCTCTGAACATCTATGTACAAATGTCTGTCTCAGGGTGTATGAGGTATAGCTTGGTGGCTGAGCACTTGCTTGATGGGCCCAAGGCCTCGGGTCCCAGCCCCAGCAAGATAGCAATAGCATATATTTTTCAGTTTTCATGGTCATACACCTAAACCATAGCTCTTTATTTGACTCTAGAAGTGCTGTAATCAAGACTAGAACACATAGTAAGCTCAAGGCCAACATCTAATCTTCAAAATGCAGTAAAATGAAAAGCTTGAAATGGTTCATAAAGGGATCATAGGAGCTGCTTTCTATTAATAATATAAAAATATTGTGTCCTGGGCCTGCAAGATGGTTCAGCAGGTAAAGGTGCTTCCTGCCAAACCTGATGACCCAAATTCTGCCCCCAGAGCCCACGTGTCAAGAGAGAACCTACTACTATAAATTGTTTTCTGGCCTCTTCACGTGCACTGTGGTGTGGATGAACACCACACACACACACACACACACACACACACACACACACACACACACACACACAAATATGAAAAAAAAAAAACAGAAAAACACTTATGTTCCTTCCTAAATGAGTATAAGCCGTTCTATTCTTCTCCTGGTTATGTCTCGATGATAAAGGAAATTAAGATTTATAGACAGAATGCTCAAACCCAATTGCTTAACAATATAACAGAATCCTAACTAACGGAAAACCAGGTTTTATTTTTTCTCCCTCTCTGCCCTAGATACTCTTTAGCACTGATAGCACTGATAGAGTTTTCTATGCATGGATAGATGTAAACATAATATTTTTAGGTCATATTAAAATAGTAATTGGACTTTTGTGCCAAAAGAATACTAATGACATTGACTAACACTGGGAAATGAAGAATGGATATGTCAGTATTTTGCCACCATGACAGAAAATGAGTCACCCATCCTTACTGAAAAGGAAACTAATTTTTTGTTCTTTGGGGTTTTGTGTTTGTTTTGGGTTTTGTTGTTGTTGTTGTTGTTTTTTCAAGACAGGGTTTCTCTGTGTAGTTCTGACTGTGCTGGAACTCACTCAGTAGACCAGGCTGGCCTTGAACTCACACAGATCCACCTGCCCCTGCCTTCTTAGTGCTGGGATTAAGGGCATGCGCCACCAAACACTTGGCCTTGTTTTGTTTTTGACATGGTCTCACTCTATAGCCCTGGCCTAGAACTCAGTATGTTGTCCAGGATG